TTGTGTGTTGGTTGTGTTGCGTGTTATTTGTGTTTTGTGTTTGTTGTGTTGTTAGTTGTGTTGTGTGTTAGTTGTTTTGTGTGTTAGTTGAGTTGTGTGTTAGTTGCGTTGTGTGTTAGTTGTGTTGTGTTGTGTTGTGTGTTAGTTGTGTTGTGTGTTAGTTGTGCTGTGTGTTAGTTGTGTTGTGTGTTAGTCGTGTTGTGTGTTAGATATGTTGTTTGTTAGTTATGTTGTGTCTTAGTTGTGTTTTGTGTTACTTGTGTTGTATCTTACTTGTGTTGTATTTTACTTGTGTTGTATTTTACTTGTGTTGTATCTTACTTGTGTTGTATCTTACTTGTGTTGTATCTTACTTGTGTTGTATCTTACTTGTGTTTTTATCTTACTTGTGTTGTATCTTACTTGTGTTGTATCTTACTTGTGTTGTATCTTACTTGTGTTGTATCTTACTTGTGTTGTATCTTACTCATGTTGTATCTTACTTGTGTTGTATCTTACTTGTGTTGTATCTTACTTGTGTTGTATCTTACTTGTGTTGTATCTTACTTGTGTTGTATCTTACTTGTGTTGTATCTTACTTGTGTTGTATTTTACTTGTGTTGTATTTTACTTGTGTTGTATCTTACTTGTGTTGTATCTTACTTGTGTTGTATCTTACTTGTGTTGTATCTTACTCATTTTGTATCTTACTTGTGTTGTATCTTATTGTGTTGTATCTTACTTGTGTTGTATCTTACTTGTGTTGTATTTTACTTGTGTTGAAATTTTACTTGTGTTGTATCTTAAATTTGTGTTGTATCTTACTTTTGTTGTATCTTACTTGTGTTGTATCTTACTTGTGTTGTATTTTACTTGTGTTGTATCTTACTTGTGTTGTATCTTACTTGTGTTGTATCTTACTTGTGTTGTATCTTACTTGTGTTGTATCTTACTTGTGTTGTATCTTACTTGTGTTGTATCTTACTCATGTTGTATCTTACTTGTGTTGTATCTTACTTGTGTTGTATCTTACTTGTGTTGTATCTTACTTGTGTTGTATCTTATTTGTGTTGTATCTTACTTGTGTTGTATCTTACTTTTGTTGTATCTTACTTGTGTTGTATCTTACTTGTGGTTTGTATTTTACTGTGGTTGTATCTTACTTGTGTTGTATCTTACTTGTGTTGTATTTTAACTTTTGTTGTAATCTTACTCATGTTGTATCTTACTTGTGTTGTATCTTACTTGTGTTGTATCTTACTTGTGTTGTATCTTACTTGTGTTGTATCTTACTTGTGTTGTATTTCACTTGTGTTGTATCTTATTTGTGTTGTATCTTACTTGTGTGTATTTCACTTGTGTTAATATTTCACTTGTGTTGTATCTTACTTGTGTTGTATCTTACTTGTTTGTATCTTACTTGTGTTGTATTTTAAACTTGTGTTGTATCTTATTTGTGTTGTATCTTACTTGTGTTGTATTTCATTGTGTTGTATTTCACTTGTTTTTGTATCTTACTTGTGTTGTATCTTACTTGTGTTGTATCTTACTTGTGTTGTATCTTACTTGTGTTGTATCTTACTTGTGTTGTATCTTACTTGTGTTGCATCTTACTTGTGTTGTATCTTACTTGTGTTGTATCTTACTTGTGTTGTATCTTACTCATGTTGTATCTTACTTGTGTTGCATCTTACTTGTGTTGCATCTTACTTGTGTTGCATCTTACTTGTGTTGTATCTTACTTGTGTTGTATTTTACTTGTGTTGCATCTTACTTGTGTTGCATCTTACTTGTGTTGCATCTTACTTGTGTTGTATCTTACTTGTGTTGTATCTTACTTGTGTTGCATCTTACTTGTGTTGCATCTTACTTGTGTTGCATCTTACTTGTGTTGCATCTTACTTGCGTTGCATCTTACTTGTTTTGCATCTTATTGTTTTGCATCTTACTTGTTTGTATTTTACTTGTGTTGTATCTTACTTGTGTTGCTTTCTTACTTGTGTTGCATCTTATTGTGTTGCTCTTACTTGTGTTGCATCTTACTTGTGTTGCATCTTACTTGTGTTGCATCTTACTTGTTTTTGTATCTTCTTGTGTTGTATCTTACTTGTGTTGCATCTTATTGTGTTGTATCTTACTTGTGTTGCATCTTACTTGTGTTGTATCTTACTTGTGTTGTATCTTACTTTGTTTGCATCTTACTTGTGTTGCATCTTACTTGTGTTGCATCTTACTTGTGTTGCATCTTACTTGTGTTGCATCTTACTTGTGTTGCATCTTACTTGTGTTGCATCTTACTTGTGTTGTATCTTACTTGTGTTGCTTCTTACTTGTGTTGCATCTTACTTGTGTTGTATCTTACTTGTGTTGTATCTTACTTGTGTTGCATCTTACTTGTGTTGTATCTTACTTGTGTTGTATCTTACTTGTGTTGCATCTTACTTGTGTTGCATCTTACTTGTGTTGCATCTTACTTGTGTTGCATCTTACTTGTGTTGCATCTTACTTGTGTTGCATCTTACTTGTGTTGCATCTTACTTGTGTTGCATCTTACTTGTGTTGTATCTTACTTGTGTTGCATCTTACTTGTGTTGCATCTTACTTGTGTTGTATCTTACTTGTGTTGTATCTTACTTGTGTTGCATCTTACTTGTGTTGTATCTTACTTGTGTTGTATCTTACTTGTGTTGTATCTTACTTGTGTTGCATCTTACTTGTGTTGCATCTTACTTGTGTTGTATCTTACTTGTGTTGTATCTTACCTGTGTTGCATCTTACTTGTGTTGTATCTTACTTGTGTTGTATCTTACTTGTGTTGCATCTTACTTGTGTTGCATCCCAGTCATCAGACCCAGTAAAAACAAAAGTAGAACTGTACCTTAGGGAAACGTTGATCAGGACATTTCGCTCGAGAAAGCCTGCACTACGGGCGAAACGTCATCTCTAATAATATTTCCTGAAACTACATGTCCCTATCTGTTAGTCAACCAAGACTCGATCTATCAGAAACTTCACGATACTCTAACATCACATTCTTCATCATGGTCTTCAGTAAAAGGCATATAACATACAGGAAAATTAAAAATGAATAAAATGAAATACATAGAATGCGTATATAGAATACACAATATCCATAACATACATATGTATCATTTCCAACCAGAACAAAAAAGGCGATTTATTGGCTTACATGAAGATCCAGTCAGAGCCACAGTTGTAAACACGTCAAGCAGAGGGAGCAGGGAGGGAGCAGGGAGGGAGCAGACAGGGAGCAGGGAGGGAGCAGACAGGGAGCAGGGAGGGAGCAGACAGGGAGCAGGGAGGGAGCAGACAGGGAGCAGGGAGGGAGCAGACAGGGAGCAGGGAGGGGGCAACAGGGAGCAGGGAGGGGGCAGACAGGGGCAGGGAGGGAGCAGTAAGGGTCGGAGGGAAGGGGGAGTCATAGTATAAAGGGAGAGAGGAAGTCAGAGTGTAGAGGGAGGGAGGGAGGGAGGGAGGGGATGGTTAGATGAGTGTTTCTTCATCTTCGTGTCCCGCTACCTGGGTGGGAGACGGCCAGTTTGCTGGTAACAAAATGAGCCCACTTACCTGCCATAATGACTGGTTCCCTGATACCTGCGTTAACATGTAATGTTTGGGAAATACACAAGAACAGTAGTGATGGTGATCCACACTGATAACATGCTTGATACTGTGAGGATGATGCGAGGTTTAATGCTCATATTAAACAGTGATTGGTATAAACCTTGGTAGTTGATACCGACAAATTGGTTTAGGACACGAGTAAACACTAGAACATGTTAGAAAACGTTTCGGTCCTGGGACCTTGATCAATTCTACAGTGATCAAGGTCCCAGGACCGAAACAACAATATATACCTGTCAGCATCCTGTCAGAGCCACGGATTCAAAACATCAATGCTAGACAAAGGCGGTAATCGGCATGTTAAGTAGCATCGTGTTATTAAAAGCTGTGAGTTCACAAATCATTGCAAGAAACACTGAGAGAACATTATGTTAGGGTTAATACCGTGTTAGAAGTGCGCGTTCACAACATCGATGGAAGAAATCCCGTGCTGATACACTGTTAAAAGTTAGTAAGAACTACACATACACAACATCAGTGCAAGAACCACAAACAAGGCAGTGTGTTAAGAGGGGTAGTATTTGTTAGCAATATACAGACACAACATCAGTGCAACAGCGTCGAGATGACGAGCGTGTCGAGATTATATAGATATTGAAGGAAGCTTGAGATCGTCATGTGAGGGGCTGTCAGGACTAAATGCTTCGCTGAGGGGATGGTATGGCGCCCCTCTTCATCGTAGTCTACTGCTGGGGTAGTTTGAAGTGATGCAGGTGAGGGGTACATAGCCAGTGGTAAGAAATACTGGGTAAGGAGTGACTGAATTACCGCAAGGTGAAGGTGGCGATAGGATGCATAGCCACGGGAAGTTGAGGCGGTGCTGTGGTATTGTGAGGTGGAGGCGAAAAGGTGCTTAGGTAGTGAGAGGTAGGTGAGGCAGGGGACGGGAACATAGCCAGTGAGAGACAACAGGGGTGAGGAAGAAAATGGTGAGAATGATGAGTGTTGAAGACAGTTCAGTGGTAAAGAAGAATTAGTTGTCCTGCAATTCCTGAACTGCTGCTGAAATTACCAGTAGAGAGAGAGGCAGAAGGAAGAGAGATGTGCATCTTCCTCCTGGAGGCTGCTATGTGGGTACTGAGAAACAGATGAAGGATCTTCTACCTTTTTGCAAAGAAACAGAACGAAGGAAGTGAATAAAAGAATAGAGGAAAGAATGTACCCGCAGGGGAGAGTCGAGTCGGCAGGGAAGGGGGAAGGGGTTTAAGAATATGTGAAGCACGTTCATAGTACAGTGCTGGAGGGACAAGCACAAGCGTGTGATTACCGCATCCAGCTACGGAGAGACAAATACGTGGTAGCTGTGAGAGAGAAAGGGAGTGCAGGGAGGTGGGGTTAGTAAACAAGCACCAGGAGAATTCATGTCCTCCTCTTACCGCAGCCATGGCACCACGGTGTCTGTGACGTGTCTCCCAGCAGCGCCCACATCGTGAGACAGCCGCCGCCCTCTGCCAGATAAACGTATCACACTTACATTAGTATCTCCTAAAACATCATACTAAACTCTCATACAACGTTGAATAATGTATCATTAGTGAAAAGCAGAAAAGCATAATTTTTACAAATTATAGGGCATGTTATGCAACATAAATAAGCACACAAGGGACACATTAGACTTCACAAATAATATATACAATATTAGCAAATGTATTTATATACAATATACGTTATACAGTGGTAGAGCATCAGGCTTACAACCGAAAAATCTGGGAATTAACCCTAGGCAAGGTAGGTCGCTTAGCAGTCTTCTAATTCCTGCTGCGCCGCTTAATTATATATATATATATATATATATATATATTATATATATATATATATATATATATATATAATATATATATATATATATATATACCAGCTCTTCCCAAAGAACACAAACAGTCCCACTGAGACAAACCGATCAAGAAAACTATCGCCAACACAATGCTCACCAACGCTTCAGTAAAGGATAAAGCTCGTCTCCTGGCGGTAAAGGCACCACACTCAGATTTCTTTTTAACTGTTCCCAATTCCTCCTTAGGCACCCGTCTCGACCCACAGGCCATTCGGATTGGTGTTGCTCTTCGCCTAGCCGCCCCCATCCTCACCGAACATAGGTGTATTTGCGGCAGGGCGACAGCTGATCAATTCGGACTTCATGGTCTCGTGTGTCACACAGCAGAAGGGAAGTATACCAGGCATGAGGAGGTCAATGACATCACAAGAGAAGCCTCGCCACAGCCCGTTGCCCAGCTCAACGGGAACCCCAAGTACAGAGGTCTGACGGAAGTCAAAAGCGTCCTGATGGAGCCACTATGCTACCCTGGAAGGATGGAAAGCAGATTGCCTGGGACTACACCTGTGCCGCCACACTGGCAGACATCTACTTGCCATACTCCGTAATGGAACGGGGTGGAGCTGCCAGCTGCAGGGAGACCCAGAAGATCCACATATATGAAGACCTTCACTCTTGCTATAACTTCATCCCAGTAGGGTCGGAGACCCTTGGAGCATGGGGCAAGTGTCCTCTAAAGATCCTCAAAGAGCTGGATGAAAAGCTCATCATAGAAACCAAGGACCACAGGGCGACTAGCTTCCTCTTTCAGAGACTCAGTGTCGCGATCCAGAGAGGAAATGCCTGCAGCATTCTGGGCACGCGGCCCACCGGCAGGGAGCTGGACGAAGTATTCGAGATGTAGCTCTGAGTTGTTATTTATGTTGTTTTACTTTCTTTTGTATTTTTGTGAATGTTTTGTCACTGTATTTTGTATTTAAATAAAATATACATCATTATAGGGGGTGGTAGGAGAAAATTCTCAAACAGCTTCAGGGAGAACCTTGAGTTTTCCCTGAAGCAAGTTTATTCTTTTCTCTGAGGCTGAGGGCCCCCAGGACTGTTCTAGAGGTGGTACCTCCCTGTATATAATATATATATATTATATAATATATATATATATATAATATATATATATATATATATAATATATATATATATACAAGGAGAGAGAGAGAGAGAAAGAGAGAGAAGGGTCAGAAAGATTGGAAACTACGTTTGGAGATTGGCATAGCTCCCCAAGTGACGCTTTAGACCACTCAGCCACAGATGCCACATAAGCTAGGCCGCCTGGTTACAAACCAGCCCGGGCACACACCAGTAAGCTTCAAGTATAGTTTCAATCTAATTCATTGTCCTCCTGTATGTTCTGCCCTCACAAGCGATTTCATATCAATGCACCACGCAGCAATATGCACAGGTATACAGAAAGATCGCAGTCAGCAGGATTCGAACCCATGTCTAGGGAATGTCAAAGCTCCAGAAAAAAACAGATTCAGTTAAGTACAGTGCAGATTCATGTTGGTTAATAATAATAAATAAAAATAATAATAATAATAATAATAATAATAATAATATAATAATGATAATAATAATAAAACTAATAATAAATAATAATAATTATTTTTTATTAGTAGTAGTAGTAAGCGGCAGTAGTAATACTTGTAATTTCTTCAACATAACACTTTCTAGATTTTTCAGTGGGATTTACTATTTTCTAGTGGTTCCTGGATCCCCCCAGGGGAGTAGTGGGTTAATATTGTAAAGAATCTCCCAGGTACCCCTGGTATCTGTAGCGGGTGTGATAGTAGTAGTGGTGGGGGTGGTGGGGTGGTGGTAGTAGTATAGTTTGGGAGTAGTAGTAGTAGTGGTGGTGGTGGTAGTAGTAGTAGTATAGTAGTAGTAGTAGTTTGGTAGTAGTAGTAGTGATGGTGTAGTAGTAGTAGTGGTGGGGGGTGGTGGTGGTGGTGGTGGTGGTGGTGGTGGGGGTGTGGTGGTGGGGTAGTAGTAGTAGTAAATAGGGAGTGGTGGTGGTGGTGGGAGTAGTAGCATAGTAGTGGGGTGGTGGTGGTAGTAGTAGTAGTAGCAGCAGTGGTGGTGGTGGTGGTGGTAGTAGTAGTAGCGTGGTGGTGGTGGTGGTGGTAGTAGTAGTAGTGGTGGTGGTAAGTATAGTAGTAGTAGGTAGTAGTAGTATTGTAGTGGGGGTGGTGGTGGTGGTAGTAGTGGTGGTGGTGGTGGTGGTGGTGTAGTAGTAGTAGTGGGGGTAGTACTAGTAGTGGTGGTGGTGGTGGTAGTAGAAATGGTGGTGGTGGTGGTGGTGGTGGTAGTAGTAGTATTAGTAGTAGTGGTGGTGGTGGTGTAGTAGTGAGTGGTAGTAGTGGTGGTGGTGGTAGTAGTAGTAGTGGTAGTAGTGGTTGGGGGGTGGTGTATAGTAGTAGTGGTGGTAGTAGTAGTAGTGGTGGGTGGTGGTAGTAGTAGTAGTGGGGTAGTATAGTAGTAGTAGTGGGGTAGTAGTAGTAGTGGCGGTGGGGGTATAGTAGTGGTGGTGGTAGTAAGTAGTAGTAGGGTGGTGGTGGGGGTAGTAGTAGTGGTGGTGGTGGTGGTAGTAGTAGTAGTGGTGGTGTGGTATAGTAGTAGTGGTGGTGGTGGTGTAGTAGAGTAGTGGGGTGGTGGTGGTGGTAGTAGTAGTAGTGGGGGGTGGTAGTAGTAGTAGTGGTGGTGGTGGGGGTGGTGGTGGTAGTATAGTGGTGGTGGTGGTGGTAGTAGTAGGGTTGGTGGTGGTAGAAAAGTAGTGGTGGTGGGTAGTAGTAGTAGTGGTGGTGGGGGTAGTAGTAGTAGTGGTGGTGGTGGTAGTAGTAGTAGTGGTGGGGGGTGGTAGTTAGTAGGGGTGGTGGTGGGGTAGTAGTATAGTTGGTGGTGGTGGTAGTAGTAGTAGGGGTGGTGGTGGTAGTAAGTATTTAGTGTGGAGTAGTAGTAGTAGTAGAAAGTAACAACTGTAGTAGTAGTAGTAGTAGTAGTAGTAAAAGTGGAGCAACAGTAGAGTAGTAGTGTAGTAATAGTAGTAGTAGAAGTGGTAGCAACAGTAGTAGTAGTAGTAACAGTGATAGCGGTAGTATAATAATAATAATAATAATAATAATAATAATAATAATAATAATAATAATAATTATCACAAAAGTGTTGTTCATTCAGGTGATGACATTAATGTTTAGGAAGAATCGTGTTAAGAAACATTTTAATGTGTCTGATGATAAACATATTGCAGGATAATGTTGACGTGTAAGTCTTCCCGTCTATGAGACATGTTCGACAACACTGATATTTAAAATACATCAAAAATGTTGCAATACGATCATTCTCTTTCATAATGACCAGATAAACGATGGAAAATAATGAACTGTGGTAAAGTATTCTCGGTGTAGGCAGGGGTAGGCTGGTAGTGGAGGGCTGGGAGGGGTGAGTGGAGGGCTGGGAGGGGTGAGTGGAGGGCTGGGAGGGTGATGGGGCTGGAGGGGTGATTGGAGGGCTGGAGGGTGAGTGGAGGGCTGGAGGGGTGAGTGGAGGCTGGGAGGGGTGAGTGGAGGGCTGGAGGGGTGAGTGGAGGGCTGGGAGGGGTGAGTGGAGGGCTGGAGGGGTGAGTGGAGGGCTGGGAGGGGTGAGTGGAGGGCTGGAGGGGTGAGGGGGAGGGCTGGAGGGGTGAGGGGAGGGCTGGAGGGGTGAAGTGGAGGGCGGGAGGGTGAGGGGAGGGCTGGGAGGGGTGAGTGGAGGGCTGGAGGGGTGAGTGGAGGGCGGGGAGGGGTGAGTGGAGGGCTGGAGGGGTGAGTGGAGGCTGGAGGGGTGAGGGGAGGGCTGGGAGGGGTGAGGGAGGGCTGGAGGGTGAGTGGAGGCTGGAGGGGTGAGTGGGGGGCTGGAGGGTGAGGGGAGGGCTGGAGGGTGAGTGGAGGGCTGGGAGGGGTGAGTGGAGGGCTGGAGGGGTGAGTAAAGGGGCGGGGAGGGGTGAGAGGAGGGCTGGAGGGGTGAGTGGAAAGCTGGAGGGGTGAGTGGAGGGCTGGAGGGTGATTTGGGGCTGGGGGGGTGAGTGGAGGGCGGGAGGGGTTGAGTGGAGGGCGGGAGGGGTGAGTGGAGGGCTGGGGGGGGTGAGTGGAGGGCTGGAGGGGTGAGTGGGGGGCTGGGGGGGTGAGTGGAGGGCTGGAGGGGTGAGTGGAGGGCCTGGGAGGGGTGAGTGGAGGGCTGGAGGGGTGAGTGGAGGGCTGGAGGGGTGAGTGGAGGGCTGGAGGGGGAGGGGAGGGCTGGAGGGGTGGTGGAGGGCTGGAGGGTGATGGAGGGCTGGAGGGGTGAGTGGGGGCTGGAGGGGTGAGTGGAGGGCTGGAGGGTGAGGGGAGGGCTGGGAGGGTGAGTGGAGGGCTGGGGGTGAGTGGAGGGCTGGAGGGGTAGTGGAGAGCTGGGGGGTGAGTGGAGGGCGGGAGGGTGAGTGGAGGGCTGGGAGGGGTGAGTGGAGGCTGGAGGGGTGAGTGGAGGGCTGGAGGGGTGAGTGGAGGGCTGGAGGGGTGATGGAGGACTGGAGGGTTTGAGTGGAGGGCTGGGGGGGTGAGTGGGGAGGGCTGGAGGGGTGATGGGGGCTGGAGGGGTGAGTGG